ATCTATCCTATGCGTCTTCATAATATGCATTTCTTTCTTCCTCCTTCTTACCCCCTTACAATAATCTCACTCAAAACCCTCTACCGTGAGTGGCGCTTAGGCTTTGTATTGGGTGAAATAACAATAAAAATAAAAACGGGGTCAACTGATATCTATCTTAAATGTCTTCATAATATGGATTTATTTTTGTGTTCATAGGTATGTTTTATTTTTTTTTTTTTTTCTTAAAATTTCTGCAAGTTTCCCCACTGTATTATAAGGGGCAGTTGTGACAGTTTATATGTGCCTGCTTCAGAATTGTTATTGTTATGGATATTTTGGGTTCTGATCAAAACCATAATATTTTTGGATGTGTTTGTAATTATTATTATACAAAAAAATAAAAGAAAACTGTTAAATTCTATAAGTTCTATGATTTAAAATATATACGTAATACTTAAACTAAGGCCAAACTAAAATAGTATAAATACTGATTACATTGTTTAAAAAACAAAATTTACTCACTTAGTAGACATTAAATCATGTCAGTTAGCATTCTCCATAATTTACCGGGACTTTTATATATATTCATATACACTCATGGACAAAATTATGAGGTAGAAAAGTTACATATATGATTGAAACTAGTATATATATTAGCTGAAAACATTTTAATAATTGAATAATAATATTGAATTGATGTTTCATTGGCATTTATTGGTACTAATAAAGATTCGTGTTCATTTTTACTTATTTAGCATAAGTGGCAAAATCATTTATTTGAAATCTAATCTGTAGTGCAAATCTTTTCTAATTTTTAGTAACAAATTTAGTATTAACTAGCAGTAGAGACCGGCGTTGCCCGGGGATGTAACAGTAAGCGATAGATCAAGTATCGACCATCATAAAGACTGAAAAATAAAATTGACAAAGATTATTGTTTAAGGTTGATGGACACGCATATCTTAATTAGTTTTTTTTTTCTTTTGTTTTTTTGGGGTTTTTTACGAATTGGTCAAACCCAAACTCAAAAAAAACATTGTTTTCAATCGTTATGAGTCTACCGATTGAATAGAATTTTATTATAAACAATTGTCTTGTAAATGGAATTTTTAAAGCATTCTGAATGTAAAAATAAAGGGAAAAGTGTGAAAGACAATAAGAAACACTACCTGTCAAAAAAAAGTAAAGTTTTGTTTAAAATCGGTTGAAAAATGTAGGAAATCCGATCCCATATATAAACGAACACACACACATATACAACCTGGGTTTTATAATAAGTATAACTCGATATGAGTTGTCACCCTTTCATTCTCGCGATGCCTCTTAATCGTGTTTTCAAATTGATTTCATGCAAAAACAATTCTGTTTTTCCAATTTTTGGCGCTGTCAGAACCACCGCAAGGTAATTTTATGTAGTCCTGTAAAGTTTTGTTGAAATCAGTTAAAAAATGTAGGAAATCCGATCCAATATATAAACGTACGCACACGCACACATACACACACACACACACACACAACCTGGGTTTTATAATAAGTATGATTTATAAGTGTTTCTTCTTTGTTGAAAATGTCTCAAAAGAAAAACATTCCTGAAACAAAAATGGCTGTAATCATTGCATTGTTCAAAGAAGGGTTTTCCCTAATCAAAATTGTCAGAAAAGTGAAATATTTCAGAAATTGCCTACAAACAACCATTAAAAGATAACGAAACCATTTTTTTTTTAAATCGTGATTGTCAAGTTCGGAAAAAGTGTACAAACTTCAAAGGAAGACAGACTGCTTAAGAGGGTATCTCTTGGTGATAGGAAAAAAATTCGTTCTAACGTGACTGCTGAATTTCGAGAGGCAACAAACAAAGTGATATCGACTCGCACAGCAAGAAAAGGAGCTTAGCAGAATCCCTGCCTCAAAGGATGTACATCTAGAAAAAAAAACATTGCTGTCTGAGGTTAATAAGAAAAAGAAACTTTCTTTTGCAAAAGAGCATGAAAATTGGACGATTGACGATTGGACCAAAGTTGTCTGATCTGATGAAAGCAACTTTGAAGTAAATTCCTTTATTTGTTGAGCATTTTTATTATCCCTATTAATACTGTATTTTTATTGAATAGAAAATTATCCCCAACATGATTATTTTTATCAGATTTCGGGAATGCCTAGAGATGTTTATGTTCGTTAAAGAGTTCGAGAAACATACGATGCTCAATGTATTTCCCTAACTGTAAAATTTGGAGGTGATAGCATAAATGGTTTGGGGCTTCATGTCGCCTTCCAGGACAGGAATGTTATTCACATATGAGGGTAGAATGAATTCTAACACGTTACCAACCTTAGAGAAAATTTTCAACATTAACATAGCAGATAGAGTAATCTTCCAACAAGACAAGTTTCGAAAAGTTGGATTGAAAAGAAAGATGTGAGGGTAATGGAGTGGCCTCCTCAATCCCCTGACCTGAATCCAATTGATCATCTGTGGTCATTCTTAGGTACAAGAGGGGAGGGTGCACAAATATTCTTCAAAACGCGAATTAGAAGACAAACTTCATGAAGAATGGCAGGAAATCGAGCCAACAATTTGTGCTAAGCTGGTTTCCAAAAGCGAATAAAGGCAGTTATAAAAGCAAAAGGTGCCCACACCAAGTATTAAATATAGGTTTAATTTAAAAGCTTTGTTCTTTTTCTTTAAATGATAAAAATAAATGAGTTTCAATTATATTTCTAACTGCCCCAAAATTTTGTACATGGCTGTATATATATATATATATATATATATATATATATACATGGCTGTATATATATATATATATATATATGTATATATATATATATATATATATATATATATATATATATATATATATATCTTTGTAGAGAGAAAATCATATATTTTCATTTACTCAATTCCAGATACCCGCGGCTTAAAGGATCCGCATCAAGTCGAAAATCTTCAGGACCAGGCACAAGTAATGTTGGGTCAACACATTCATACTCAACACCCAACACAACCAATTAGGTAAGTAGTATCTTTTCTCGGCGTTGTTTTCTTAACGAGTATCGCCACCTCCCACGGGCTAACGGCAGTATCACCGGTTGAAACACTGGTTCTCGTACAATCCACTAAAATGCAAGGAGTTACTGAGAGTGAAAGGAACCGGAAATCCAAAACTAAACAGGAAATAATAGATAAACCTCTACTTCCGTTGAAGGAACTGGAGAGGGCCTGTGAACCAGGCGATAGGCGGGCCTATTTACTTCTTATTGCATTCAACGCAAAAGCAACAGCTAACGTTATGAGGCCGTGGATCTCTACTCAACAAAGGAGTCAACAGGGTTAGCATAATGTTATGCCACACATCACGTCACAAGCAGTTTCGATTATTTGCAGTATTTACATTATTTTTTTTTTTGAACTCACAACTATTTGTGTCTAGTCACTGGATTTAATCAACGTCTTTATCTACTGGGACAAGTGTCCTTCAGAGAGAGAAGATTAACATGGCTCCTGCGTAAGGATGACACCGAAATTCGTTATTTATTTATGGGCCGAGTGGTTAGAATGAGTTTTTTTTTATCATTTCACCCCAAGGAAGGTGATAATGCCACTAAAATGCAAAGAGTTACTTGAGTGGGGGGTGAATGAGATTCAGAAGATTTTAGGAAAAGAAACCAGAAACCCAATCCTAAATAGGAAACTCCTGTTCAAAGACGAACCTCTCTAATGGTTTCCACTACCCAAGAATAAAACACAGTCTATTCTTTACATGCAAATTGTAAATCTGAAGGAGTCATGAAAGAAAGAGGCCAACCAAATGAAAACACGAATGTTAATATTTATACTATTTACATTGTTCGGACTGTTGTCATCATCTTTATTTTCATATTTACGACGTTTCGGTCGTTTTACACTCCGGCCTTCTTCGGGAGATATACGTTAGAATTTCGAATTGAACTATTTATTTAGTTCACTGGGGTAACTTGTTCTAGTTCCACATGCCATACCTTTTCTGGCTATCTTAGTTTCAGTTATTTCCCTTTAGTAACTCAATTCTCCAAGTTCTTGTTCATTTCAGGTTTTAAAATCACAACTCTTTGAGATATGTCATTGGATTACTTCAAGCAACTCTTTTTTTCCATTAGATTACTTGGGGAGACATGGTTGAAGTAATCCAGTCCGAATATTGTAAATAGTGTAAATAGTTACAATACCTCATCTCAGAAATAGAGACAGCTTTTGAAGGTGAATATGGCAATAAAGATGAGGACAACAGTCCAAACAATGTAAATAGTGTAAATAGTTACAATACCTCATCTCATAAATAGAGACAGCTTTTGAAGGTGAATATGGCAATAAAGATGAGGACAACAGTCCAAACAATGTAAATAGTTTAAATAGTTACAATACCTCATCTCAGAAATAGAGACAGCTTTTGAAGGTGAATATGGCAATAAAGATGAGGACAACAGTCCAAACAATGTAAATAGTGTAAATAGTTACAATTCCTCATCTCAGCAATAGAGACAGACTAATGTTAACTTTTAGAACTCTGCATTATAAATATGACATCCCTTTCCACTGCATTCTTTTTCAAGGCCGCTCAATTGCAGTATCCTTAAAGTTAATATTACTCAAAGTTGTTTTCTGTTGCCATAGCAGGATATGACGACACAACTATGAAATTCAAACACTCTATTGTTCAGGGATCAGTCACCTTCAGTGGCAGAATAAACATTTTGTCAGCATATGAAGTCACATTCAGAGTGAGAAAGGTTAATGTGTCTGTATGTGTTTGTGTGTGAGTGAGTGTGTGTTTTTGTGTATGTGCGTACGGAAGCAGGCTGTCGTTCATCGATCCGAGCAATGTAGGTGCCTGCTGCATGTGCGATTTTTTTAACGAGTGTCAAAAGAACATGCCATATGTAAAGTCTTGTGGCCCCCAGCCATATGAAAGCCGCTTAATTTGTACATAAGTTTGCTTTTAAAATCACCTGTAAAAATTTCGCTGTGATCGTTCTTTTAAATGTTGCACGCCTCTTTTTCTTTTTTTTTCTTCTTCTTCACTTTCTTAAACGCGTTCTTCTTCCGACACCTCCTTTCACCTTCAATGTTCCACTCCGTCACTTCCTTTCTTTTCTCTCTTTCTTCTTTCTTCTTTCTTACACATTCTCTTCTTTTTTTATTTACTATTTTTTCCTTCTCTTTATCGCACGCTATCTTTTTCTTTTTTCAATCTTTCAAATATTTTAATTATTATGTCTTTTTCTTTTGTTTTCGGACTTCTCTTCATTCCTCTTTTTTTTTTCTTCTTCCTTCGTTTACGTTCACCACTTCTTTCTTTTCTCTTGTTTTGCATTTTCTTCTTTTCCATACTTATCTTTTAAATACTATGTTTCTTTTTCTTCTTTTTTGCTTTCTGTTGTGTCTTTCTTTTCTTTCTTTTTTTGTTGCCTTCTTTCTCCAAATCACTTCATCCTTACTGTTCTTTTTCTTGTTTTCTTTATTTCTTCAAATCCCTGCATCCTTCCTTTTTTTTTCTTTTTTGTTTCCTTCTTTCTTCAAATCGCTTCCTCTTTCTTTTTGTTTTTTCTTTCTTTCTTCAAATCACTTCATTCTTTTTCTTTTTCATTATTTTTGTTTCTTTCTTTCTTCAAATCACTGCATGCTTCTTTTTTGTTTCTTTCTTTCTTCAAATCACTTCCTCTTTCTTTTTCTTTTTTGTTTATTTCTTCAAAACATTCTTTTTCATTTTCATTATTTTTGTTTCTTTCTTTCTTCATATCACTTCATCCTTCTTTTTCTTTTTTGTTTCTTTCTTTCTTGAAATTATTTAATTCTTCTTTTTCTTTTTCTTTTTTGTTTATTTCTTTCTTCAAATAACTTCATCCTTCTTTTTATATTTATTGTTTCCTTCTTTCTTCAAATTATTCCATCCTTCTTTTTTTGTTTTTCTTTTTTGTTTCTTTCATTCTTCAAATCACTTCAGCTTTATTTGTTTCATAAAGATCATCAAATGACTTCAGTTTTCTTTTTCATGTTTCTTTCTGTCTTTATATCTCTTCAGCCATCTTTTACTTTTTTGTTTCGTTTTTCATCAAATCCTTTCATCCTTCTTTGTTTACTTTTTTCTTCAAATGAGTTCATCCTTCTTTTTCTTTTTTCTTTCATCAAATCACTTCATCCTTCTGTTTCTTTTTTATTTATTTATTTCATAAAATCGATTCATCCTTCCTTTTCATTTTTTTGTTTCTTTCCTTCTTCAAATCACTTCATTTTTCTTTTCCCTTTTTATTTATTTATTTCTTCAAATCAATTCATCCTTATTTTCTTTTTTGTTTTTTTCTTTCTTCATATCAATTCATTCTTCTTTTTCCTTTTTTGTTTCTTTCTTCAAACTACTTCATCTTTCTTTCTCTTTTTTGTTTCGTTCAAATCAATTCATGCTACTTCTTTTTAGATTCTTTCTTTCTTCAAATCACTTCATATTTTTTTCATTTTTTGATTTTTTTCTTCAAACAAATTTGTATTTCTTTTTTTGTTTCTTTTTTCTTCAAACCACTTCATACTTCTTTTTCATTTTTTGTTTCTTTTTTCTTGAAATCACTTCTGTTTTCTTGTTTTTTTTTTTCGTTCTTCAATTCATCCTTCTCTCTCTTTTTTCTTTTTTTCGTCAAATCACTTCAGCCCTCTGTTTTATGTTTCTTTCATTCTTCATCATTTCAGCCTTCTTTTTCTTTTGTCTTCCTTTCGTCAAATCACTTCAGCCCTCTGTTTTCTGTTTCTTTCACTCTTCATATCATTTCAGCCTTCTTTTTCTTTTTCTTTCTTTCGTCAAATCACTTCAGCCCTCTGTTTTATGTTTCTTTCATTCTTCATATCATTTCAGCCTTCTTTTTCTTTTTTCTTTCATGTTTTATCAAATTACTTCCTTCTTCTTTGTTTTTTCTTTCTTCAAATTAGTTCATCCTTCTTTTTCTTTTTTGTTTGTTTCTTTCTTTAAATCAATTCATACTTCTTTTCCTTTTTCTTTTATTTTCTTTCTTTCTTCAAATAAATTCATCGTTCTTTTCCCTTTTTGTTTCTTTCTTTCTTCAAATAACTTTATACTTCTTTTTATATTTTTTGTTTCCTTCTTCTCTGAAATTATTTCATCATTATTTTTCCTTTTTTTATTTCTTTCTTTCTTCACATTATTCCATCCTTGATTTTCTTTTTCTATTTTGTTTCTTTCATTCTGCAAATCACTTCAGCTTCATTTGTTTCTTAATTTCCTAAAATCACTTCGCGCTTCAATTTCCTTTTTTTATTCCTTCTTTCGTCAAATCACTTAATCATTCTTTTTTTCTTTTTTTCTTTAAATCATTTCATTCTTCTTTTTCTTTTTCTTTTTCTTTTTTCTTTCATCAAATCACTTCATCCTCTTTTTCTTTTTTAGTTCTTTCTTTTTTTCAAATCACTTCATCCTTCTTCTTTTTTTTCTAGCCCCAATCATTCTTCTTCACTTGCTTCTAACTTTTTTTTCTTTTTCGCATAACATCGTATTTCGTCTCGTTTTCCCACATTTTCTTTCTTTCTTTCGTCCTCGGTATGACGATAAATTACATCCGGTAACGCGACCTCTGATCGGAAGATTGAAGTTTTGCGGTTCGTGGAGACACATTAATTGATATAGCTGGGCAAGCTTGCTAACCATTACACCACGTTAAAGTGCTTCAATAAAGATAAAATGTGATTTCTGATAGAATTCTAAGATGCGTACCCCTTCTCAATGACCATCCTGGGTAAGACGATAAACTACATCCAGCAGCAAGGCCTCTGATCAGGAGATTTTAATAGCTGGTATTCCCAGGTCCACCCTGAGCCAGGGTGGTAGCACTTGTTAGGTTCCCAGCTATGGGGCAAATAGTAAACACCCCAAACAATGACCAACAATACACTTTTATAGTGAAATGACCAACAATATAGTTTTATGGTCTAAAAACTATATATATATATATATATATATATATATATATATATATATATATATATATATATATATATTTACACTGAAACTATAAAATATGTAGAAAATATTTAGATTTCGGCATTAAATAACCCATAGAGGTATTGATGTGCCGCTAAACAAAATCAACAACTTTCTATTTCTTCTTCATTTTTCCAATTTTGTCATTCTTCATTATTTTTCTTTCCATTCCCCTTAATCTCTTTCCTCCCACTTTTCTTCTTCATTTTTTTCTCTTTTCTTTCCTCTTCTCTCGCCTTCTTTCATCTTCTTATATTTTATTGCCATTTTCCTTTTCCCTTCTTTGTCTTTCATTTTCCCCCTCTTCTGTTTCTTCCTCTTTTTCTAACTCCTTCTCCCACTATCTTCTCCTTAATTTCAAAATTCATAACAATTCTCAAGAGTTCATATCATTTACATCAAATTCTATCAGCAACAATTCAATTAGTGTTGCTTGCTAATTTACAACCAACCGCCATTTCGCTTACAGATATCAACTGTCCGCCATTATCCAAAAGTCAATCTGATTAGTTAGAGCCATTGCTATCCAACATAGTCACCTTTATTTCTGCGTTTTCAGTCTTTAAAGGATTTCTTTTTCTTAAGAGAAGATGCAATCTACAGTGAATAGTGTTGATGATAAAAAAAACTTTCCAGTTAACAAAAAACCAGAAGAGAGTTCCACAAACGAGAAAATAAACTGTTACGCTATTTACATTATTTGAACCGTTGTCCCCATCTTTGCTGCCATATTCACGACGTTTCGGTCGTTGCCCTTTCCGGCCTTCTTCAGATGATTGGTATTTTCTTTGGGTCATATCATGGGATCAAACCAACGCTTTTATCTACTGGTTCATGTGTCCTCAACAGTCCAAACAATGTAACTAGTATAAATAATTACAATACCTTATCTCAGAAATATAGATAGATAAACACTGTTAGCATAGAACCTAGGCTTACATCTAGCCATTTCAACTGTAAACTGGGGAAGCATTGCTGCCAATCTAGCTCTGGTCTCAAATTCATAAAGTCTTGTGACTATAGAGAAAAGTTCATCAGAATACTTACCATGAACATTTTCTTAAGCATTTCACCCTAAGCAAGACAGGAGCGCCACTAGTATGCAAGAGGCTACACAGAGTGTAATTAAAGGAAAAGACTGGGTGAGTAAGGAAAGGATAAAAGAAGAACGGGGGAGGGTAAAAAAAAGAACGTGGGTCAAGGCAACAGAAGATATTATTGACTTTACCATTAAATTTATGAAGATTATAGTTATCAGGGAACCAAGTAAGAGGAAGGGAGTTCAACTGCTGGGAAGTGCGAGAGATGAAGATGTAGAAGAGGCGGTTACATTTAACTGTTTCGGCACTAAAAGAGTTGGACAGAGATGCCAACCTAGTAGCACGCTTAAATCCAATAATTATAATTTAGGCTCTACTTTTGTATCGAGCATTGATTTTAAAAATAAAAGCAAAAATACTCAAGAACTTCGGATTATTTACCTAACGAGTTCTTCCCTATTTTCTACATATTTTCACACACACACACACACACACATATATATATATATATATATATATATATATATATATATATATATATATATATATATATAATCAAACTAAAAGCTAAATTTTAAAATAAAATAAACTCTTAAAATCTAAAATAAACTGAGTGATAAGGGTTTAAAAATACGTGCGCATGTGTAGTCGCACCAACATAACTAATTTAATGTAGTGAGTGTGGTCCAGAAACTCCCATGATCCGGCATTTTTTTAATTTGCCGCTATTGTTTACAACTTTCCGCAGCGGTCAACAGCAACAGAGTGTTTTGGTAACATGGTATCGCTTATTTATTATATATAGCAGCATATTCCCCACCCCCCTTTCAGGATGCCACCCAAGAGAAAAAGGGGTGAAGATGATGCTAGAAGTAAGAGGTAAGAAGCGTAATCACAAATCTTTATCTATGATTGATAAGGCGGATTTACTGAATGAAACTCTCTCTCTCTCTCTCTATCTATCTATATATATATATATATATATATATATATACTGTCGACACTCCCGTCGAATTCGACTTATGAGGTTCAAGCACACCAGTTTATAGGGAACTGACAGCCCGACACCAGCACATGAGATTTGATTATAGTGGTAGAGGTTTTGTGCAGAACCATCCACACTTTTTGAAGGACCGAATACAGAGACTTGGTGTACTACGTGCCCCCAAACGACCCTCCGCAAGTTTTGAATTCAGAGTTGAACTTAAAATGATTAAAGATATCGTACTGGAATTCGCCAATGTTTTTTATAACACCATTGGACTCTACTTTGAGCAATAAGAATGTCTAATTACTCTCCAAGCTTAAAAGAAGAATCGTAATGAAATCGATCATAAACGAAAATGACATGCCCATCATTAATTAATCATAGCCAATGATCGGAAGCTCATGAAGTATTGAAATTAAGTTCAAATATATATATATATATATATATATATATATATATATATATATATATATATATATTCCAGGATCATTTTTCATTTTATTCAAGATGATCCAATTCATCAACCTCATCACTAAATTTTATTTTTTATTCCCGGAGTTATTTTTTCTGATTTCTTTTTGAATTTTTTAAGTCTGATGAATTGGATCGTAATTACGATTCAATGTAATAAATTATAACGGGAATATTAGTGCTTAAGCCTTTTTATTATATTCTTACTCTGTCCTGGACATTGAGTTCTACCTGGATTCTATCCTCTTGGAAACTTTTATATGTATATGTATGTGTATGTATATATGTATGTATATATT